GAAATTTCAGAGAAATTTTCACATCACAGCAAGAAGACATTACAAAACTTTTAAACTTTCCAAACAAAAGGAAAACATATTCCCGTGTACTTTTGAGAGTATATTTCCTAATACAATTGAAAGAAACTCCTAAAATGCTAAGTAATGATTAAGCCTATTATAATTTTTAGTATATTTCTGAAAGAAAAAAAAAAAGGAAAAAAAAAATCAGTCTTCAAATACTGAACAATGATTAAGCTAATTAAACTCTCATTCAAATTCCCGTGTACTATATAGATTATGATTCGTAATACAATAAAAAGGAAAGTCCTCAAACACTCAGCAAAGATTAAGCCAATTACAATATATCAAGGAAATTTCATTGAAATCTTTTCATCACTGCAAGAGGACGTTACAAAATTTTCAACATTCACAACAATTCCCGTGTAAGTTTTAGACTAAATATCCTAATACAATTAAAAGCCAAGTCCTCAAATGATTAGCAAAGATAAAGCATATTATATTTTTTCATGAAAATTTCAGAGAAAATTCTCATCATAGCATAAGGACAATACATAAATTTTAAACATCCCAAACCTTAGGAAATCATATTCCCGTGTTCTTTTTAGAGAATATTTCTTAATAAAATTAAAAGCAAAATCCTCAAATACTCAACAAAGATTAAGCTAATTATACTCTCTCATTTCAAATTCCCATGTACTTTATGGAGTGCGATTTTTAATACAATGAGAAGAAAGTCCTCAAATGCTCAGCAAAGATTAAGCCAATGATAATCTTTCATGGAAATTTCAGTGGAATCTTCTCATCACTGCAAGAGGACCAAACAAACATTTTCATTATCCCAAACATAAAGAAAAGATATTCCTATGTATTTATTAGAGTATACTTCCTAATACTATTAAAACCAAAGTCCTCAAAAGCTTATCAAATATTAATCCAATTATACTATCTCATTCAAATTCCTGTGTAGAGTATAGAGTATGATTCGTAATACAATGAAAATAAAGTCTTCAAATGCTCAGCAAAGATTAAGCCAATGATAATCTTTCACGGATATTTCAGAGAAATCTTCTCTTCACTGCAAGAGGACAAAACAAAAATTATCACCATCCCAAACATTAGGAAAAGATATTCCTATGTATTTATTAGAGTATATTTCCTAATAGTATTGAAAGCAAAGTCCTCAAATGCTTAGCAAAGATTAAGTCAATTATGCTCTCTCATTCAAATTCCTGTGTACTCCATAGAATATGATTCGTAATACAATGAAAAGAAAATCCTCAAATGCATAGCAGAGATTAAGCCTATTATAATCTTTCATAGAAATTTCATTTAAATCTTCTCATCACAGCAAGACGACATTACAAAAATTTGAAACATTCCAAACAAAAGGAAAAGATTTTCCCGTGCACTTTTTAAGTATACTTCCTAATACAATTAAAAGAAAGTAGTCAAATGCTAAGTAAAGATTAAGTCTATTATAATCTTCAGAAATTTTACCGAAAAAAATAAAACCAGTCTTCAAATACTGAACAATGATTAAGCTAGTTATACTCTCTCATTCAAATTCCCGTGTAGTTTATAGAGTATGATTTGTAACACAATGATAAGAAAGTCCTCAAATGCTCAGCAAAGATTAAGCCAATTATAATATATCATGAAAACTTCATCGAAATCTTTTCATCACAGCAAGAGGACGTTACAAAAATTTTAAACATTCCAAACAAAAGGAAAACATACTCCCGTGTACTTTTTAGAGTATGTTTCCTGATACAATTAAAAAAAGTCCTCAAATGCTAAGTAAAGATTAAGTCTATTATAATTTCAGTATATTTCCGAAATAAATAAAACCAGTCTTCAAATACTGAGCAATGATTAAGCTAATTACCCTCTCATTCAAATTCCCGTGTACTCCATAGATTATGATTCGTAATACAATGAAAAGGAAAGTCCTCAAACGCTCAGCAAAGATTAAGCCAATTATAATATATCATGGAAATTTCATTGAAATCTTTTCATCACTGCAAGAGGACGTTACAAAATTTTGAACACAGAAAATTTCTCATCATAGCAAGAGGACAATACATAAATTTTCAACATCCCAAACCTTAGGAAATCATATTCCCGTGTTCTTTTTAGAGAATATTTCTTAATAAAATTAAAAGCAAAATCCTCAAATACTCAACAAAGATTAAGCTAATTATACTCTCTCATTTCAAATTCCTGTGTATTTTATGGAGTGCGATTTTTAATACAATGAGAAGAAAGTCCTCAAATGTTCAGTAAAAATTAAGCCAATTGCAATCTTTCATGGAAATTTCAGAGGAATTTTCTCATCACTGCAAGAGGACATTACAAAAATTTTTACTATCCCAAACATAAAGAAAAGATATTCCTATGTATTTATTAGAGTATACTTCTTAATACTATTAAAACCAAAGTCCTCAAAAGCTTATCAAATATTAATCCAATTATACTGTCTCATTCAAATTCCCGTGTACTTTATAGAGTGTGATTCTTAATACAATGAGAAGAAAGTCCTCAAATGCTCAGCAAAGATTAAGCCTATGATAATCTTTCATGGATATTTCAGAGAAATCTTCTCATCACTGCAAGAGGACAAAACAAAAATTTTCACCATCCCAAACATTAGGAAAATATATTCCTATGTATTTATTAGAGTATATTTCCTAATACTATTAAAACCAAAGTCCTCCAATGCTTATCAAATATTAATCCAATTATACTATCTCATTCAAATTCCTGTGTACTCTATAGAATATGATTCGTAATACAATGAAAAGAAAGTTCTCAAATGGTCAGCAAAGTTTAAGCCTATCTTTCATTCAAATTCCCGTGTAGAGTATAGAGTATGATTCATAATACAATGAAAAGAAAGTCCTCAAATGCTGAGCATAGATTAAGCCTATTATAATCTTTCACGGAAATTTCAGTTAAATCTTCTCTTCACAACAAGAGGACATTTTAAACATCCGAAACAAAAGTAAAACATATTTTTGTGTACTTTTTGGAGTATATTTCCTAATACAATTAAAAGAAAGTTCTCAAATGCTAAGGAAAGATTAAGCCAATTATAATATTTCATGAAAATTTCAGTGAAATCTTTTCATCACTTCCATAGGATATTACAAAAATTTCAACATCCGAAACATAAGAAGGTTCCTGGGAAGTTTATAGATCATATTTCACAATACAATTAAATGCAAAGTCCTCAAATGATCAGTAAAAATTAAGTCAATTATAATCTTTCATGGAAAATAAAGTGAAATCATTTATCATATCAAAAGGACATTACAAACAATTGGACACTTTGCCTAATTTGAAATAATGACATTATCAGGTAGTGTATCTAGTACATTAAAAATTTCAATTCAATACGGAGTCATGATATCCACACCATTGATTTATCGGATAATAATCTTTCATGGAAATTCGAGTGAAATTGCCAGTAACCTCCAGGTAGATAATTTATCACAATAACTATTGAAAGACTGCATCCATTAGTTCTGTTTCTGCACTGCCGCTGCCCAGCCGTCACGGTTCTGCCCCATGTTCTTGCTCTACCTTGTGCCACTTGGCAACAATGCTGCCTAAACACATTGGGGATTGCATTCAACAAGATTTTCTTTTTAAAATATATGTCTGAATTCTAATCCACAAAATTTTATTTTGAGTCGCTCCACATATGCTGGCCAAACTTCAAAAATTAACCAGTGTTTCTAAAATTTTTGTTTAACAAACAAACGCCACTATTTTTGGACATTCACTCTTTTGTAAAAGAATGATCAGTAATTAAAATGAAACTCCTTAATTGATCCATTATGATTAATCTATCATTCTGTCACTGAAATTAAGTCAAGTATTATCTTCACTACACCTTGTCAAATCATGACGATCCTAGGAATATTTCAGGAACCTGAAACATAAGTAGTTTATTGAATAAGTTCATATTACAATTACTTATCAAGTCTTAAAAACACTCTTTAAAGGTTAAATCAATTGTAATCTTCCATGGAAATTCAAATCTAATATTATCATCACTGCGCAAGATCTTTACAAAAACCAACTGGCTGTTTCAAATGAGTGATGTCCGTATAATAGTGGGTTTGTCCACCCTCGAAATGTTACGCATCGCTTTCGTGTATCCATACATACACAAAAGATTGATACTGCTTCCACTATGGCGTTCACTAACTCCTTAATATTTCTTCTTCTCTACAGCTAGTGGCTGCAGAGAGAGGGAATTCTGTTATCCTATCAAAGGCTTCAAATTGTTGTCACTGTAGAGTTGCTGATATTTAAGAAAAAATTAAATCTGACAGCGAAAGACAACTGAAAATTAAACAGCAATGAGCATGCCATTACTTGTTTATCTGTCATGTGCGTAGTTCTGTGCTCTCATTGCTATTTTCCTTTTTGCATGTAAAATAAAACCAACAAAAGAACATCACAAGGAGATTTGAGACAAAGAAAAATAGAAGAGATAAAGGAGGATCAGAAGAAATTGCTCTCACACCAACAGAAAACAAAAAACACACCAACACCAACATGTCTGCCAATTTTACAAACATTCTCAGTCAGAAAATCTCATGCACTCCAGAAAATGAATAAAAAAGGTAATGGAATATAGTATTCCATTTGCACAGGAATTATTGAAAATTTTGATTGTCTTCATAAATTCGAGGTGGACATTTAAAAATATTGAGATCATTGGAAACAAATAAGAACACTTAAAAATATTTTACAATCAACAAACTTAAAAACACACTTATTTGGAAGAAAAGTTTTCTTGTAATATAACATATATGAATTAACTCTAAAATTGTACACATTCAGGAAGCTTGAATTAGAAAACTCTTTCCAGTATTTCCAATTTTCAATAAAATGAAAGTTCAGATTAAAATTATAATTATCATATATTTTATATATTTATTTTGCTTCAAGATAGATCTTTAAATGTAAAAACTAATTTGGCTTACTGAGAAGGGCTGGAGCTTGGCCTGTTTTAACACCATAAAAGCTGACATTGACATTGCCGGCTTCTCCATGAATGATGGCAAACTTTGAACCCACAGGCTCCCAAGCAAATGCATGGATTGTCTCCTTAATTTCCACACTATCAACTGGAATCTGCTTCTCTCGCATGTGGAAAATTTCAAAGTTGTAGTACATGCCCTGCAATAGTCACAGTGGTAAGAGAAGTTTAATCCAATTTATATGTACATTAGTTCAAAATAGAATCTATTAGACAAGAGAGGATCACAGTAAAAATTTGTTCAACATTTTGATGTATACAAGTGAAATTCCCTATGTCCATTTTATATGCTTATTTAAATTATTTATACTCCCAAGTCACATTTTTTCTATTCTTTTGATTAGTGAAATTGTTGAAATCCTGAAATTAACAGGTACAAAATTATCAACTTTCTTTTGTAACTAAACCACTAAAAAGTGAAAAAGGAAACTTTCAGTCTATGAACCCAATTTTTTTGTTTGTTTCTTATTCACAATATTACTATCCAAAATGTGCGTAAAAAATAAGTTTCATCTCTTGCAGCAGAAGATCTTGAATGGGCAAGAAACTTCAATTTAATTGATCTCAAAACACTGTTTTTTGGACTCAAAGAGTTTCACTTGTGTACTGAAGATAATTAATGGACAAATTTACAAAGTAGTGTTGTTCAGACAATACTTCATGTAACCAACGTACTGATTTACTGAACTAGTTAAATTACATGTAAACATTTTAAGAAATACTAAGATGACACTTTGATACATAAAAATAAAACACGTTTTTTATAAAGGGGAAAATGAACAGGTAACTTACAGTATATTTTATTTCTTTGTCCTTCTTAGTGATTTTTGTGTATCTGTTCACATTTACACAAAGGTAATCACCACATTTTTGCCAATGTATCTTGCAATCAGCCACATTAAAAAGATTCTTGGCTCGAATTTCATTGCGGCTTTAACAAACAAAGCATGGTTAAACTAATGCCAGAAAAATATGTTAAAGACAAGGAAGCTGCATCACTGCAACTCTCTCAATATATAATATGAAATTTTACACACACACACACACACACACACAATTATCTTCAAATAGGCTACCTCTTGTTCTCCAAGAAGATTAAGCTATTAAAGTAATCGTCTAGTTCCTGTTTAAAAGTTTTCATCACACAAAGACTTTTAAAAGTGATAAATGGGAATTAACTATTAGGCTAATCAAATGTTTTCTATTTTGCTCAGTAAGAGAGTTCAAGAATTTAATACTTCAAAGACATTTCATTTTAATTCTCTCATCATTGCAAACTAAATTATTTCTAACAAATTTAACATCACAGCTAATTGAGGCAACTTAATATTTGCAGTGGGAGAAATTATAACAAACACACACGAAAATTCACTTTTAGATACAATTTTAATAGTAAAGAAGCATCCCATCAACTAGTATCTAAAATTAAGGTGGTTAGAGCGAGATATTTCCTAGTAGATAGAGAGTCCATATTACATTCCAAAATACCTATTAGCAAAACAAGTGGGTTTTGTGAGACCAATACAAACAAATTTTGTTTCATAGATGGAAAATAAAAATAATTCATTACCTCGAAGTCCATTGACTAGTTTCTTATCTAATACCAACAGATCGCATGGCCAACGAAAGAAAAATTATGAAAAGTAACCTAGATATGTCTATGGGTTGGTTTTTTTTTTTTTAACAATGATTGCCAATAATTGGCAAACTTTGTTTCAGTAGGGTGAAAATCTTTGGTAAATTGGGCAATGTCAAAATGTCCTAGAGACTGGAATATCTGCTCAGAGCTCATGCTTCAAAGTTTTATTGTTTTGAATCACTTTGAATACTGTTTGTTGGCTGGTAAATTTCACTGTGTTCGAGTGAATTGGCAGATGATTCCAAAGCAAAATTTGAGAGAAGACAAAATATTTCCACCCAATGTCACACATAAGTGACATAAAACAATTTCAAATATTTTTTCGCTTTCTTTTTTTTTTGTAATCTAACTGCAGGATCAAATTTAATGTTTTAATAGCTTTTAATTGTTTGAAATTTTTGAACCATTTTTGCAAATTGCTAAGTATTATATTATTTCCAGCAGTGGGTTTACGTAAAACATAAAAGCTATTTGCAATGTTTTCAGTATGATTATATATCATGTTATGACAATGATTTAAGTTTTAGATGTAGATTACTGTGTAAAATACATCCCAACTAAAACTGATAAAATGAAATCATATAATTCTTAGACCTATAGTACTTAGACCCTCAATAATAAAATAACATTGTAGGAGATAAAATCTTCAATAGAGATTTCTAGGTGAATGGTCTTTTGCAATTGTCTGTCTTGATATTTCACTAAAAATGAAAAGAGGTTTTAAAAGGTTTTTTGAGTATGGCTGACAGTTCTACTTATTAAATATTGCATATTATTAGTTTGTAAGTATATTTATGTACTGGAATTACCTATATTATTATACTATTTTATTTTTTAGATTTTTAAGTTTATTTTATACTTTTCAAATTCTTTATGGTACATCTGAGATACTCTGTATTTTAGTTTAAATTTTATTCCAACATGTTGTATTGTGAGGTACTGAAATGTACCTCACGAAAAATTTGTGCATTACATTATAAATATAATTGTAATGATTTGATATTTCTTGTAATCGTGGTATGTTTGTTTGGATATTTGCAATAATTTTGTCTGATAATTTGTAATCTTTTGTTTAGGTAAACATTTCAATGTCTATTAACTGCATTGGGCAATCCTTCAGAAAAGAAATCTTTGGTTAACAAAAACACACTAATTGTGAGACAATAAATCCTTGTACAAACACAGATATAAATTACAAAATTGCTTACAAAGTGGAAAAAACATTTTTAATTTCTCATTTACACATGCATGTTTATTTCTTATTGTTCCATTCAATTTATTTTTAAATTCAAACATTGCAGTTCAATAAACTATTTGATTAATGGTTAGTTTTTAAGAAAATTTACCCTATATACAGCGAAAGTTCAATTTTTATGATCCTCGGTCCCAACAAAACATCCAAATGAATAATGTATAATTTTCCTTGATTTTATGTTTGTTGAGATAGTTAGTCACTAGTGTTAAGTCAGTTGCTGGTTTTTACTTTCTCGCTACTGCTTATGCAGTAGAGAGAAAGTAATGAACGGGTGTGGGAAAAAGAGAATTTTCAGCACAAAAACTCTTATTGCTGGGCCCTGGTAACAAAAAGTAGGTAAATTCAGCCAGTTGCTAAATTTAGAACAAAACATTCTCTAGCTTGTGGTGTAGCATGGCAATTCCAGGAGCCATGGCTATAGCCAGAAACCATGTTTTGGGGCTCCTTGCTACCGAAAAATCAATCGACAGGAAAACGTCTGTCAGTCTGTCCATGAACACCGCTAGCAGCTAAACTGTTCAGCCAATTTCCTCCAAAACTGATATTCCCTAAACGAAGTGGCTGTTGTCATGGATCCTTATATTGCAACCAACATTGTAATTTTTGGGAGAACTTTACATGAAGCCCACTGAGAAATTTTCAAAAAAATTGCTCCATCAATTTTTAATTAAATTTTGTTATAAATTTTTTTTTTTTCAATTTTAATGCAAAAAATACAATTCCTGTAACAAAAGAAAAATTACTTTTTAAGTTTGTAATTTTCTGGTCGATTATCATTAGTTTCTTAAAGTTGCTTTTATTCCCAAGTCCATCACAAATGCAACTTATTTCCATTTTGAACTTCCTGCTGGGCTGTTACCGAATTGTTCTGCTTCTATTATGTGTAATTTTCCTTTCACAATGAACAATCAAGTTTCAAGTTCGGTATATCATCCACACACATTTTCATTTTGCTAGATGAAAGGAGGAGGGATTTCAGTGACAGGACTTTTATATCAAATCTGTAGCTAGTTTTTCAATCCAAACTGGTTTCTATTACACGGATGGGAACATTTCCAGTTACCAGATTGTGTCATCAACGCTTGTTATTACTTATTCTTAATTCAATAGATATTAGAAAAAAAGCTTGAGTAGGTAATCCAGGATTCATGAAAACTTGTGCTTAGAATTTTAACCATGACACAAATAACATCCATACAACAATTTTCAGCTGCAAATTTTTGGAAAAAAATACACAGGGATTATTTGAGAATCTACAGTTTTTAAAAAACCTGAGCACAGTGATGGGAATCCCAAGCCTTCTTGTTTTACTAGTACGAAATACAGCTCTGCATTTATCTACAACTTGAATGATTGATATGGACACCAGTAAAAAAGTCTATAATTTCAACACATTTAATGCCACTAAAAAGGCTATTTCTAACACCTTCATGAATTGAATATCTACCCAGTAGCTCCATTGACTGAGGTGCTGATCTGAACTAAATGTGCTGCTTTGAGTCCAGCGTAACTAAGTAGAAGGCAATGACAATCCACTGTGTATCTCATATATAAAAGAATGCCAATCATTTTTGAGTAATTAATAATGGTTAACGAGCAAAAGTCAAAAAGCTGGCATACGGCACAATACAAAATAATAATACTGAACTGAATATGTAAAACAATTCTATAAACTGTCAAGATCACCCATTTGCTCATAGAGCAATGATCAATGCGATTCATTTGGAATATTTATTAAACAGAGTTTTTCATTCAGATCGCAAAAATAATTATATCCATAAAATTTTCGCTTTGCTGAATATCTGGTTAATATCAAAAGCAATGTTTTCTGAAAGAGAGGATCATTTAATTAGTGCTTGAAGACCCAAAGGAAAGTAAGAACTCTTGCTGAAGACTAGTCACTCAGTATCAATTAAGTGCAGTGTTCCTGAGTTACCGTCTCGACCATCTACAAAGCATGTGAAAATCTCCTTTCAGATCGATTTAGGCTTATAACTTTGCAAAATTCTCCAATTTAAATCAGAATTGTAGATGGGACGGATTTTAATGAATTGTCATTTTTTCTTATCACTTTAGAACAATACTGTTAATATAGAAATTAATTGTATGTTATGATAAAAGGAAATGATCCCTTTTATAGATCATTTTTTTCATTTCTTGTTGATTCGGAGTAATAAAACATTTTTTCGCCCTTTTCAGTCATTTTAAAGCATTTCCACTGATTTCATTGCTTTTAATATCATTTTAATGGTACTTGCTTCAAGTAATCTTTAAGAGATGCAACATATTCACCACAAAATTCCTGAATAGCCTATTAAATTTCTTTGCTGGCAAATTTTAATGCCAGCCGTTAAGTTTGCACTCCAAGGTCCCTGCAATACCTAACAGAGTCATTGTCGGTTTGTCCAATTTTGATACAACTAAAGACAGATTTCCTGGAAAGCAAGCATCCAAACCAAAAGTTTGCAAGCTGAATTCACTTGAACAAATGGAAGAAGCCTTGATTACATCAGTAATGTATATAACAGCTTGAGTAACAAACTGGTTTCTTTCTTTGTTTAGGGCATTTTAAAAACATTTTAAGATCATATTTGGCAATGTATAAAGTCATCAAAATCCACTCCCTAGTAATTTCCTTCCAATTGTGCATATTGATTCTTTGAGATGCTAGCTACCTAAGGGGAAGGGGTTTTAAAAACATTATCAAAAGTTATTCCTCTCATGATTTTTAATATTTCAGGTAGGCTCTATTAGGCCACCTTAAGTGCGGACAAATTTCCAGATATCGTTACATAAAAACTAGATGGTGAAATCGATTCGAACTCTACCAGATCATAGAACTTCTCATCTTTTGATTAACACAATAAAAAAGGCATGTTAAACATATCATGTATCTCACTCTAGCCACCTAAGTCACGTTAAAATTCAAACATTTGGACATTTTTTAATGCATTAAAATTACTTAGGATTTAAAGCAATTAATACTACCATGACTGTCACAATTTAAAAGACTACATGAAAATATAATTTAGTAAAAAAGAAAATTAATTTACATATATTAAATCCTGATTACAACAGAATATTTTTAAAATGAGAAGTAACAAGTCAGCACATCATAACCAAGATTTTATTAATATAATCCTAAAAGCATTAATTATATGATAAGCATAAATTCTTGTAGAACATTTCAGTTGTTTAATTAGTTACCTGGGTATTTCAAGGAGCGTTACTCTAGCAGGAACATTTTTGTCCTCAGCTACCCAATAAGCCAGCACATTGTCAGTAGGGGACCAACTAAAGTCCCGAATGCCAGGTATCTTAATACTCTTCTTGTCTAACAGTCCAAAAGACTGAAATAAGGAGCATTACTTCTGTAGCACATCCCTCATTAGATGACGCTGTTTTTAGTATAGGATTCTTTTTCACTAATACATACCGGAGTCTCATAGACACTCAGAACATCCAATCCCAGACGAGCAAAGTAACGATCATCATGTGACCAACGAAAAATTGGCCAAATACCAGGGCCATCAGGTGTGAAGGTACGTTTCTCAAGCCCAGTTCGAATATCCCATACAATAAGCTTTTTCTGGTCGGCCGAATGATTTTCAGCCTGAGGTGAATATGTCACCAGATACCTGTACACATAATCCATTATTTCCAAACATAATTCCATTATATTTGTGTTAAAATCAAAACTGAAATATTTTGAAGAAAAGAAGAAAAAGAAAAAAAAAAACACACGCAATTACAGTTCTTGAACATTGATAACAGATTATCCTGTTTGGTAAGAGAAGCCTTCTCAAAATAAATTTTGAGAGTAAGAAGAACAAATATGTGTACAATTTTTACAATTTAATTGCAAACTTTACTCTTTCCATTGAAATGAAATAAAATAAACAACATGCAAAATATACATCATTATAACAGCATTCTACTCTACACTTCAATATCAATGTCTCAAAGTTTAAAAATCAGTACAAATAAAAAATTTCAAGACTACAAATATTTCAATTATAAATATGGCTAATATTTAGTTCAATAGAACCGTTCCTGTTTGTAGCACTGTGCTGCAGCATAACTTTTTGTGGTCCTTCACATCAAAGCTTGCAAAGGAAACCCAAAACAAATTTAGATTTAGGCACATTTAGATATCTGAAACCAAAATAATTTTAGGGTTCTTCAGATTCTTCACTACATTCATTGCATTTTCGTGTAAACAAGGCTCCAACATTCATCCTCCATGATTTACTTAAAACCACAAATTTTACCAATTCAAAATTATCAACACATTTTAGGCCAAAATATAAATGTGGGTAAAACCTCTTCACCTTTCCTACAGAACCACTAGTGCCAGCAAACAATGGCCCTACTGAACTGAAATCAACCAAATAATCTTACTTTTCACAGGGAGAGAAATCCACAAATTGTACACCATTATGGGAGAACCTCATGATCTGACTGAATTCAGGTCCACCCCATAAGGCCACACCTTTCTTGTGAAGTGTGGAAATGTATGACCCCAGGGGAGACCACTGAATGAAGCTATCCGACCATCGCTGCAATGTCACATTTTAACATGTTACCAAGCAAGTTATAAACCAATTAAAATTTAAACAAAGACAATAACATTAAAAGCTTTTTTCTATTGTGCTCAGTAAGAGAGTTCAAGAAGTTAGTACTTCAGAGACATTCAGTTAAATTCTCTCATCATTGCAAAATGAAATGATTACTGTGAACTTAAGATCACAAACTGGTTAATTGAGGAAAATGAATCAATAATAATGAAAATTAAATTATTCATTTAAATAAGCCTCAGAAAATAAAAAGCTTTACTGGTTTGTTTTTTTAAGCATTTTCATTAAAAAAAAACAAAGTGACCAATAGAAATTACTCTCAACCACTAGGGATAAAACTGGTTTGTTTTCAAAATCAATCAGAATATAAAAATAAAAAATAAAATGGAGAGTGAAAGAAGTAAAGCTTACTGGCCGCTCTTCTAATTTCGTAGGTTCTGGAGCAGAATTAAGCCATATCTGAGCAGTATTATCAGTGTTCATAATAATGAAATACTGGTCATAAGAATCAGGCTCAAGCATATAATAATGTAAATTGCCCTGATCCTTGTAAGGCATCGGCTCTGGAGGTTCCCAATTATCAGAAATGTCTTCATACCTAGAAAATATGACAAATTCAATTATGCTAATGGGTCCTAGTCTAAAGAATGACTTAATGTAATATTTTTAATTCTACTCAGGAAGAGAGTTCAAGATAACTAAAATCATGGCATTTCAATGAACTTTTCTCATCATTGCAGTGTTATTTTGTTTTATGAACACTATGAATTGTGTTCAGTGAAAACTGTTATTCATGCACAGAGAGAACCAAGAATCTAATGCAAGTTTAATAAAATCATTAAATGAAGTAACACACACTTCATCTGAACAATACCTACCACCCCCTCTCCACATTTATTAATTTCAGCCTTCCAATTATGTTGTAAACTTGTGTTTTACATAATTTGACAACTGTAAAGACTGACACTTCTGCACAGACAACTTTAGAGTTTTATTTGCTTCTACAAGCTTGATTTGTTCATCCAATTTGACTTTTGTGCTTCTTTTCAGTCAAACTTCTACACAAAATTTAGCACAAAAACCTGACACCACCTTTAAGTGACTAGTCAGGTCGTCCCTACTTGCTCATTTTTTCCACCACAGTCTAGTGTACCCATCATGCGTAACAGTGGCAACAATGTAAAACTGACTTGGGAGATACTTCATTACGAGTATATCTCAACACAGCTACTTAGCTAATTGGATTAATTTGCAGCAATTTCATTACATAAAGGGGTTTTCTTTTGCAGGCACAATGAACCATTCTGTTTCTGCTGGATGGTCTATTTTAGGTTATGTACAATGCCATTTAACTTTCAGGGCCAGACAAATTTTCCAAGGCAGTATTTGGACTTCGTCAGATTTTACTCTTCTATGAAATTCAAAACTGCTAAATCACTATCTTACAGGGCAGGGAGATATATGAAAGTTGAATATATATGGTTTAATAAATCTTGAAGTACCAAAAAAGTAGTGTATCATACATGCCTTTGTTTAGGCCGTTAATTGATACAAAGTTTGAATCTAACTTTCACCTTTTTTACCAGAACATTAAACTGGGAAAACATTACATGAAAGCTCCTTTGAAAAAATTTGACAAATTTGTCAAGTAGTAAACCACTTAACATTATATTTAACTTATAACAAGTTTAAATGACAAAACTACAAGCAAACTCACTTTTTAAAGTCTGTAAAAAGATTCACCAAGAAAGTATGCTGCTTGTCGAGTTTGTAATTATTCATCATTTTAACAGCTTCCAAAGCATGCTTTGGATTGGCGTATTCCAGAAAAATGTACCTATAAAAAAATAGATAATTAAAACCATGAAAAAACTATAAAATATCACTCGTTTCCAAAATGAACTTACCCTTTAGTATGTCCATCATCAGTCTTGGGGTAATACTCATTTACAATAGTACCAAATTTATAGAATATTTTACTAATAACTGAAGATAATTTTTCAATACGTTCTGGGCCAACCAAGGGGATGCCATCCACTACCACAACAGATTCTACACCATCAGTTTCGCGAGGTTTTGATTTCAGCAAGTCCGACAACAATTCTATGCAAAAACACACACACAATACTTAAAATATGAATTGTTTGGCTCAATACATTTTATAGAGAGAAATTTGTACGTTGGATGCAGATTGTACAGGAATCTATTAGGTCAACGGTAGTGCTCGTCAAGGTTAGAAAGATGCAGTATCATAGGATCAGAGAAAGAAAATAAAAACCACAATATTCCACCAATAATTGTTGAAAAACAACTTAACAAGTTAATATGAAACAAGCAATAATAGATATTGCTTTCAAAATACTTTAGCGCCGTCGGTTAAAACATGTGCCTAATATCAACCCATATGCCACAAACTGTAAGTACGAAAACTAAAACACATGCTTTTACCTTCATCGGATATATCATCGACATATCCTTCCGGGTCATCAAAATTAGGCTCCTCATCTTCAGCATTTTCATTTTTTTCCTTCTTTGCCTCGGCATTTTGAGCCGCTTTCTCTGCATCTTTCTTCTTAGCCATCTTGGAAACCTCGTGGACTGGTAGAGAGCGGTGGTAGAGCGCTTTCAAATACACGCTATCTACAATCCTTCACATTACGACAAAATATTTCCTGCAACAAATAAAGAGATGAAAATATAATTAATTAATGTCTTCAAATAATATAAGTACTAAAATAATTAATTATCGCCTACATATATTACATAAAGATGCAAAATATATTCGCTTTGTATCAGTGCACAAGTAGTAAGACTGGAAAACAAAGGTTGGTATTTATATTTAAATCTATATTTCAATTTTTAAAAGATTTTTTTTTATTAAATAGTCTTACTGAATCTCACTTTCTGAAAACACTATACACACAAGAAAGTGCTGCTATCTGTAGACATTTTTACGAACTTTACTTTGTGGAAAGGCGGTCAATGTAAACCAGAATTCTCGTATTACGTAATTTCTGGTAGGTATACGATTTGTGGAAGGTATTATTCGCGCAAGTTTTCTTGAGTCCTCCATTCACTAGATGCGAGAGAAGTGTATGTGAGGGGGAGGGCTTATTTTTTCCCACAGGTCTAATATAATATATGTGTGGCTCGTTTTCGATGCAAAATGGTTTCTATTGAACTGGAGCATTTCAATTATCAGATTTTATCAACAACGCTCGTTGCTATCATTTACGCTTAATTAAACTCACGAGAGTTAAAGCGCGGGGATAGGTATTCCGGGTCTCAAGAAAACGTGCGCATACCAGGATCAAATTTTCAATATAGATGATCTGACAAAATTAGCAACTAAATTGCAATTTTGCGTTTTCTTACCTTATTCTTTCAACACTACTATTTTTTATTACATAAAAAAATATTATCAAATCTTCAAATATAACCAGTTTAGAACAGTACATGCAATCACTTACTTAATAGATACCTCCTCCACCTCTCTGACTTAGCATTCTTCCTTGTTGAAATGAAAATTATTCATTTTCATCATTTGTCCCAAGAAAACGAAAGGAATGGAATGAAAGTAGGATTGCATAAAGTAGTAGGCCAAAGTTCGATTCGAACAACAGATTTTATACCATAAACAAGTTTACTTACTACTATTTTACATTCAGAATATTTTATGTTTAAACTTTTTTAGTATAATGAACCAATTTTCTTGTCAAAATCATTACACTTTGGGTCTGTTAACTGCAGCAAATTCAACAAATCTTGTGCTTCCTTTTCTAATAGAAATATTTTTCTATCATTGTTGAAAGTCTCCTTATCCATCATTCGATTTTTTTCTTGAAAAAGCCAAAGACTTTAATATCACTAAAAAAGTTTTTGTTTCAATCGTCAAAAATCTTTACAAAATGTATGTACGTATGGGCGTGATGTGATAGTGAATTTTTTATTAAACACTCTTTTTATTTGGCGGAGGGGAATAGCATGTAAGAAATGTATGCGTGCGTGTGCATATGTGTGTGTGTATGTATGCGTATGTGAGCGCGTGTGAGTGTGTGCGATTTACCACCATTACTAGAAAATCAAATATATAGTTCGTTTGCAGGCACATTTTCTCTCAAGCGATTGCGAAATATTCTAGTTGTCGTCATCTATCCTCTTTGGTACTTTTATCCATTACTAGTGCTCAGATTTGGATGGATATGCTTTTTTTCTGTTACTTGGAAAACAATCACATATCTTTACGAATCTGACCGTATAGAACATTCCTCATAAATTTTATTTTACATATTTCACTACATGTTACAGTCACTGCATATTTCTGTATTCTCAGCCTAATTTTTGGAAAAAAAAGGAGAAAATGGTAATAATTTATTAAAATAAAACTTCCTGAAATTGGTGAATTATGATTTATAGTTATGCTCGTTCACGGATCAGCTCACCAGTCACCATAAAGAAGTGAAATCCTTTTAGCCTTAAAATTGTTGCCAACGAATTCATATGCTCCTTGCAAGTTCTTCCCCGCTCTCTGCAAGTTCTTCAGTCCAAGTTTCTCACCCGCTCCCAGCAAGTTCTCAACCGCTTCCTGCAAGTTCTTTACATGCTCACTGCAAGTTCTTTCCCACTCTCTGCAAGTTCTCCACTACTCCCTACAAGTTCTTTTCCGTTCCCTACATGTTCTTTTTTGTTCCCCACAAGTTCTTTTCTGTTCCCCAAGTCCTTCACCCGCCCCCTGCAAGTTCTTCACATGCTCCCTGCATGTTATTCACCATTCCCTGCAAGTTTTTTGCATGCTCCCTGCAAGTTCTTTACATGCTCCTTGCAAGTTGTTCACATGCTTCCTGCAAGTTCTTCACATGCTACGGCCATGCTCCCTGCAACTTTTTCATATGCTCCCTGCAAGTTCTTCATGTGCTCCCTGCAAGTTCTTCACCTTCTCCTTGCAAGTACTTCCCCGCTTCCTGCAAGTTCTCTGCAGAGTTTTTTTTAGATATAACACGAGAAAGTAAGCGCTGTTGTAGAACCACTTGTGTTCCTTCATGCTCTGCTCATGCATTCGTTGTTTTAAATCTGTCTGATGGGAGACTGAGATTATCGACTCCTTAGCAGTAGCACTCTTACGGCCTTTCGGTCGATGGTTTCTTATAATTGGTACAAAACCGTTAACTTTCCTTTTACAAACAGGAAAATACGTATTCACGGGTTATTAATTTGAAATAAGCCTCTCTTTATCTGTGTGCATTGAAGTAATCTACCGTGAGCAACACAGTCAACAATATATTTCACCTCAAATCATCCTAAACTGATCGATTCTAGAGTTCTCCCCGCTCAGGTCTTGTTGTGTTCCATGTTCTCTGAGATGCACTGAGGGGCATGATAGGGTTGAGTGCACACCAGGTTGGTCTTCCCGACTAAGACACTAGTCTATAAACATGTTCTCTTCCGGAGGCAGCGTAGAAAAGAAAAGACGTTTGTGCGCATACCATCTAACCTCCCAAAAGCTGCTTCAAGGTAGGGGCGGGATTAATGAAGTGGACCGGTTTTACAGGCCAAGAAACAAATGAGCTTCATGGAATGAATTGAACGATGGCTTTGCAAGAGAAAGTGTCGAAGCCATTTACAAGTGAGCCAACTGCAAACGAAAGCATTGAATTGAGCGCGTCGACTTAACCCGCAGTTGTTGCCAGTAGTAGCCAGGCAGTAGCTGTCAAGCGGTCCCTTAGAATAGTCTCTCTGCCCGACCTCCCTCACGCTGTGTGGTTTCTAACCACTGGCGCTTATGAAAGCCAGATGGTGATGCTGCTTGCGTGCTCAAAAAAGATTCGTAATGACAGTTACTCTAAAAGGGACATACTTTAACTAAGGTTACGGCTAGCAGTCCGGAACCAGATTCAATTCCCTTTGAATTGTAATTGATTGAAAATGATTTCCTACATGTAAATAAATTGTTATATTCAAGTGCCAAAAGAATGATTCATTTCCTGACGACGTCAGAATATAATCAAACTATCCAGTTTTTGATAATATTCTCAGGTTACAACTGATTTTAGTTCGATAAACCAACGCTTAGTTTTGACAGAAGGATGTGTGCTATTGAAATTTATCGAATTCTTTCTTTTATCTTCCTGGGAACATCTAAAAGTAATGACCAGAAAGAGTTATCGAGTCAGTATCACCAACGTAGGAGTTATTTCTAGTCAGTCAAATCCGCAACTATATCTCCAAATTAGAGCACCTACGACAGTGGGAGACATCTGAGGAAGAATTAATAAACCAGGAACAAGACCCAAAACACAGTAAATCCTTTAAATTTATTCCAGCTATTTCCTCATTTCTTTGTCAATTCAGTCAAACCATTAGTTAATTAAGTCGAACATTAAGTTCATTATGCAACTAATTCAGAATTCTTTCAAATTCAACTCTGGTGCAGTTCGATGCGCACATAATAGCAATGGACGTTCTCGCCGCGATATAGAGTAATATTCTGGGGAAATTGATTCTATAGTTCCCTGACAATTAGATTAGTACCCAAAACAATTTGTACGAAGAATAAGTAAAACCCATTCACATGGTTCCAGCATGCTTCCCTTTATTGCACTTGGAATACTATTATTGTCTTGCTTCTTCATTTATAAATCAATAGTTTTCGCCAAACGTTTCGTAAAATTACTCGAGGGTATACGTTTGTTATCACTCATGTATATTCATTCAATATCCGCAGGTATCTAATTATCAGGTATCTAATTATAACACGCGAAATAACGTAAAAATTATATATTTATTAGGTATCAATAGATCACTAAAAATTCACATACACGTTATTTTACAATACATTGACAGAAGTCATTAAACAATTAAAATCGAATGAAGTTTAAAGGCTACGAAAAATCGTTTTTGCTCATAAGTTTTTCTACATGATCTGTATCATTGATTTACAATGCGCCCAGAAACTGAAGAAAACTATGCGGCCTCCGGTCATGTGAATGGCGCCTACGGTTTAGATACGCGGTAATTCACTTCAGAAACATCACTAATTTTTCAAAGCGCATAGAAATTTAAAGAAATCTGCACATCCCTCGGTGTTTTGAGAAGTGTCTATGGTTTCCTTTGATACCCAGGACCTTGGGAAATATGAAAATGCTTCTTGCTCATTTCCAATGTGTATTATACGATAATATTGTATTTTATGTTCTTGAATACTGTGAAAGTATTTTCTGTTACACAGGAGGAATATTTCATGCTATCCTGTTATTTCCTGTTATTTAACAAATGTTTCCAAAAATGCTCATTGGTACGTTTTTTCATTACTCAGTTGAGTGAAGTAATAGAGAGGGGCTACGGTTTCCTGATGTGAAGAAAACGCGCGGAGATTGTACGTCTCTCACGCACGTCACACACAGTTTAAAACTTTCTCGCCATACTACTTACGTAGTAAGGAGAAAGTACACCAATACTGCAGAGGAAAGTGGCAATTTTTCATCAGAAAAAATGTAACTGACTATCCCAGGGAAAAGATTAATCAGAAAATGTGATTATGGTTTCATGTAAATTACCCCCCAAAATCAAAATTTCAAACTCACAGGGCCTCAAGTTTGTTCATATCGACCCGAGAATATCAATTTTCGACAAAATCATCCGAACTATTTAGGTGATAGCGTTGACCTAGACAGAGTTTTACCGTCAACCAGGAATATCATTGAAGGCAACTTGTGACGTACATTTTTATATTGAATCCATTTTTTGCAATTGCTTTAGATTTAGTCAGAAAAACAGTAAAAACTGTATGGGATGTATAA